ATCATCTAAATTTTTTTTTGTATCATTGACACTTATAAATTTACAGGTGATCATGTATTGTGTTACATTATATTTCTGAGAAATTTAAGGGGTAGTTATATAATAATTTTAGACGATCTCAGGCGGCTGCATACTTATGATCGCTACTGTAATTATATATAGTTATCAATCTTTTCTTATGTGATAGAAAGGAGTTTTTCTATATATAATAAATTTTAGATGATGATATGTAAAATTTAAGTCTGAAATCACTTAAATATCTTACTATAGTGTATTTTAATAATTAAAATAGTAATAAATAAATATACAATTTTAACAGAATAAAATTGGAATTTTTGCTGTTATTATGATAAAAATTATGATTTGATATCAGAATTTTTCTGGGTCTCTGCCTCAAGAGCATCTAAAAAATTCTTCAGTCACATGATCCAAATTATTTATCACCTGTATTACACTCTTCGCATTTAAGTATTCTGAAAACTTATGCTGATATTATAACTGTTTAGGTAAAGAACTTCCAAGCTTTGTTGATGGAACTGTTTAAAATGCTCAATTTTTAAATTGAAATATTATTAAATTTAGTATTCTGCCTGCGTAGTAGATCAGCTTTTTCAGAAAAGAGGTCATATTTGTCACACAATAACCATCACATCCTTAGATTTAGGGTTAGGCCAGGGTTTAGGGATTAAGCATAATGCGAGCCAAAATCACGTGATCGAAGAATTTTTCGGTAAAACTCGGTATAGAATTTTTTGAAGAAAAAACATTAATCGTTACGTTCAAAATATAGCGGCATAATACTACTATTTTAATGATTAATTTCCGCTTTTCCATTTACTCACAATTACAAAGTAATTAAATCATGAGCAAAAAATGGACAAGAGTTTTAAAAAAAGTAGTATTTTTACCCATATATAAATGTGGTTGGCTTTTCCAAATCCTTATAAATGTTCTCGTCTGTCCCGTAACTTATGAAATTAGCTGTTATAAAATTTATAACTTTGTAAAAAAAAGTTTTCTTTGATAAATTATCTTTTGGTTAATTCCTTTGGTTAATCTGATCGACACGTGTTGTGGAATTCGTTTCGTCATAACTTTAAGATTAAATTTTAATCAAGAAGTTATACAAATTATTAAATTTTTTTTTTTAATAGTTATTTATTTGGATAGAATATTAAAAAGTAATAACTTGGGTGGAGTGTATTTAAAAAAATCATGTGTACATCCTGGCTCGTTTATTTCCACTTCTTCAAATCGTTTCATTTACCTAACTTAAGTTTCCTTCATTACTTCTCATACTACTTATTTCACGGAATGTTATGGCGTAAATTTGCCGATTTACAAGTCACACGTTTCCATTTTCTTTGAAGATGTAATCAAAAAATATTTACCAATTACATAAGCATGTTATCAACATTACTATTTGTAGATATGATGAATATTGTGGATAATATATCAATTAATCTATTGCTTCTAATGAATGTACAGTATAACGAACGCGTATTTGTCACTTGATAAATGATTTTGACAGAATGTAAACGAGCATAAATAAACTCATCACAAAATTTGAAATCAAAACATAATAGAATGCCTGATCTAAAAAGGAAGTGGCATGCAAATCCAATATTGTCAACAACAAAAGTCAATTATTAGATTTTAATTAGCTGAACAAATTGAGTGTGCTTTTAAAAAATTTTTTTGTTATCAATTCAAATAATTGCTGTCCACCGTCTCAAGTAAAGCAGAAATTTGATTGGTATGACTTTTTATAGATATATTATATTAAATAACCAAAATTTTTTTATATTACAATAATTTTTTTTTTTTTTTTTAAAAAAAAAAAAAAAAAAAAAAAAAAAAAAACCTAGTCAAAATTACTAAATTAAAGATAATTTTTTCATTCATTGATCAATTTTAATTTCATTCAACTGTTCATTATCATCATCAGTCACCAAAAGTTCTGATTCTGCCAATCCTTCCAAACGATGATATCTTTCTTTTTGCAACTGATATCTTATTTTAGTCTCCCTTAAAGTGTCCAAATAATAAGAATCGATATAATATTCTTTTAGCAAAGTCTCTAAAATTTGTACACGCCTTTCTAAGGTAGAACCTTCAGGACGTTCTTCAACATATTCTCCCAATGGTATACCGGCTGATGAAACGTACCGTGCTGCTAAATGTCTCTTGAAACTTCTTCTGCACGGCCAACATCTGAAACAATATCTTTGAAAAACGCCCCTAATAAATGAATGAAGAATTGTTAATGAAAAAAAGAAATTTCTCGATAAATAAAAATATTTATTTATGTATGCTATGTATTGTACCATGGTGAAAGTCTTGGGCTACCAAATAAAAAGCCAAAAAATCCAATAACGGCACCATAAAAACCTCCAAAGTTTGCGACAATGTTTATAGCTATTGGAATAAATCAAATGAAACCTGTTAATAATTTCATAATAATAAATAATAATAATAGTAATAATAATTTTTTTTCCTTCGACTTTTTTTTCTACTTACGATGAGAATTATAAAATTCTGCTTCATACCGAATTTGATAAGGTTGTTTAGGTTTAACGATAAAAACAATTTCCCCATCTACGTTCATGTCTGGTAATAAAACCTTTTCAACTTCAAACTTTAGAAGATTGACATCCGGTGGTAATCCAAGTTGACCCAAATAAGGAGTTGAGTAAGCTTGTAATATAGCAATGCTATATTCAAAAAAATTCGTTTTAGTAATATCAATAGAGTTCCAATTATATATTATGGCTTTTTGTTGTTGTAATTTTGGTTGATCAGGGGGAAGACGGGAGATGAATTTAAAATCATCTCCTTTATGAAAATATCGATCAAAAAATAAAGCGAAATAAGGTACTAGGGATGCTTGCGTCGTATTACGAATTTTAAATATCACATAATTCTCATAAACGAATGACGGATCATTTTTATCATCATCACTGGTTTCTTCCGGTTGAGGACGAAACTGATAACAACCTAATCCTTTACGTAAGAATAGATCACAAGGTATAGTTTCTTCCTTCCTGGGATCTTCTAATGCACCTGTTAAGATTCCCGGTCCGTATACATTACGAAATTCACACGTGATCTCAAAACTATAATCATTTGTTGCCGGAAGGGGTGGTGTCGTTTCATTTGGTGGAGTCGTTTCTTGAGGTGTTCGTTTTTTCAAGAAGGTTGTTATATCCGTTTCAGGGTCATTTAAATAACGAGTTGTGTTAGGTTCATTCGGACATATGGTAAATCCTAAGATAAACAAATTAAAGTTCTGATATTCCGGAAATGATTGAAAGAATTTTCAATAAATTACCTGGAAAGTTTGGACGTACTCTTGAATGACTTATAACTATGTTTGGTTTACCTAACCCAATTGTAAAAGATCTGATTTGGAGAAACAAAAAATAACCTAATATAAACAAGAAACATATCATGTATCCTAATCGAATTAACTTAAAAAATCTTGGCTCCGTTGGCCTTCGTAATGCCTCAATTGTAAACATTATTTAAAAAAAAAAATTCTGATGAAAAAGAATTTAATCTATATGCTAATTATAAAATTATATACAAATAAAGCTTTTTTTTATACTATTTGAGCAAAAAATGTCCATTTATAAAATTATATACTTTTGTTTCATCTATTTCCTTATAAAGAAGATTAAAGATACTCATGAGCAAAAAAAAAAAAATTATCTTTCGTCCTGAATTCAGTCAATTTATCAATGAAATATTTCAATTTTTTTATTCTTTCCATTGTACAATGATTTTGAATTCATTCCCTTTTCGGTTAAACAACTTGTTTATTATTTTTGATACTCTGTGTCAATGTTTATGATGTGTGATAATAAACATAATATGTAAAGTTGTTACACCATTGGATTTCGGGCGATCTATTTTGGGATATTCCTATCAATGGTGGCTAAAAATTCAATTGAAAAAAAAATTGATTTAATCAAAAAAAATAACATTATTTCGAGTTCTTTTTTATGGTGATGGGACAGACGGTCATGTGCTGATCACAAAAAATATACAACCCCAGTGATTAAAATGAATTCCTTCGGGCCGTATAAATAAATTCGTAGGGCAAAGGTGACAATAAAAAGCAATAAATGTAAGTTTCATTATAATTCGGAATTTCAGATGATCTCCTTTATAAAATCAGCTTTGATGCGTGCTTTATTAATTTAAATACATAACCGTTCCCGTAATAAAATATGAAAAGCCCCACATTTGGAGATCAAATAAGTCACGTGAAAGGATCTCATGTACCACGCTAGCATCATTTGTTTCCGAAAAAACAATAAAACAAAAAAAAAAAACTTTAAATTCATTGAAAATGGTTGATCCTGTAAAACCAATTACACCTCCCCTGGTACGTTCATCAAATATTAATATTGCGACAAAAACCCCAACAACTCCTCCACCACAAGAAGATAATCCAATCTCACTAAAAGTTTCCAAAATTTTACTTAATCCAATAGATGATACGAAAACTAAAGTAGCATTAGAAGCTTTATCTGAATTCTATAATCATGATGATAATAAAAATTCTATGATCGCTCGTAGAAATTTAAGAGGTAAGATCGAACAAAAATCTATTGAAACTAATAGAAAATTTTTAGAAATTTTTGGTAAAATTACGGAGGTATAAGTTTATTATTTTATTTATTATAAATTCTTATTGAAATATGAAAATTCTTTTAATTATAATACTTTGTTTTCTTTTTTTTTTTTTTTTTTTTAGCAATTAGCGGTTATTGAATCAGAAGTTAAAGATATGAATACTTTTTGTGATGAAATTGGAAAAAGTTTGGAATCCGCAAAGAAACAAACGGCAGTTTTATTAGAACAAAGTGATGGCTTAAAATCTCAAAGGTTAGCTCACTAAATTACAATATAACAAAACTTTAATACTTATTATTATTTGATTTTATTTAGGGAAACGTGTAAAATAAGGAAAAATTTAATAGATGCATTCTTAAAAAGGTTTACTCTCTCCGAAAAAGAAATTCATGTGTTAACATCACCTGATTCGGAGGTAGGAATTGAATTCTTTGATGCTTTGAAGCATTTACAACAAATTCATGGAGATTGTGATGCACTTTTAATTACTGAAAATCAAAGAGCCGGGTATATACACAATTTAAGTTATCAAAATCTTGTGAAATTAGATCAATTGTATTTATTATATATTTCTTTCTTTAAAAAAAATTAAGTTTGGAAATTATGGAAAGGATGAATGCTTGTCAAGAAACGGCGTTTGACAAATTGTATAGATGGACACAAACTGAAACTAGAACTTTAGGTAGGGGATCGTTGGAAGTACCAATTATAATGAGAAAAGCACTGAAAGCTTTAAAACAGCGGCCTGTTCTTTTTCAGTATGTACAAAATTCATGTTATGGTTTTAATGAGATAGTTTCCTTGTTTTTTTTTTTTTTTTAAAAAAAAAAATTTATTTTACCCTCCTAATTAAGGTCTTGCTTAGAAGAACTCGTTCACATTCGACGAAATTCCGTTTCTAGAGCCTTCATGGATGCTTTAATAAGAGGAGGTCCTGGAGGAACTCCTAAACCTATTGAGCTACATTCGCATGATCCATTACGTTATGTTGGTGATATGTTGGCATGGATTCACCAAACTGTTGCCGGTGAAAGGGAATTTTTAGAAGGATTATTTGAACCCAAGCTAGGTAAATACCGATAAAAAATTTTTTTTTACTACATTTTTTATAATGATTTCTTAAATATTTATTTATTAGGCTTAAATGGTGAAATTACTCAAGAAGAAAATTTAGTGAGAGAGAGTGATGATATTATTATACAAGACTTGTTGGATCGGGACCTTGATGGAACTTGTCGACCACTTATGGTATAATACCTTTCGATTAAAGTGAAATGGCCTTCGTTCAAATTAGTTAATAGGATTCCATTAATATTATAGACTCGTGTAGAACAAGTTATTGGATCTCAAATTGGTGCTATAACAGGATATAGAATTTTAAATTTGATTCAATTTTATAAAATTACCATTGCAAGAATTTTGGGTCCCAATGCAAATTTATCCAATACGCTTGAAATGTAAGTTAACAAGACAAAAATTAATTTTTTATATTACTAAGTCTTAACCATTTTTTTACTTGTTTTCTCTAGTATTACAGAAACTGCATCCAGAGTGTTTTATAATACTTTAAATACAAAAGCCGAACAATTATTGAGATTTATTCAAGTAATTTAATTTTATTCAAATAATTTCAACTTTAATGCCTTTATGTATTAAATTTTTTTTTTTTTAAGACCCCAAGTCCTGATTTGTCCCCACCACCTGCAGTTAAAGAAGTTTTATTACAATTGGTAAATTGAATTGAGTCAAAGGAATTTTCCCCACGATGATTTCAGTCTAAAATATTTTGATATGATATTTATAGAAAGCTATAATGACATCATATGAGACCTCTTTAGTTACAGCATCAGAAAGGGAAGCAGATTTTAAAACGGTTTTGGATGCAATATTAGATCCTTTATTTCAAATGTGTGAATTAGGTGCAAAAGATTTAACTAGATTTAATCAAGCAATTTACATGGTGAATTGTCTTCATTATGTTCAGGTGAAATATGAAATTAAGATATCAAATTTTTTTTTTATTAACGTGAAAAAAAAAGTAGTTAATAAATTTCTTTTAATAGTCTGCCTTAACCTTGTATGATTTCACACACGGTCGTGTTATGGACATTGAGAGAAGAATCGAAGAAAATTTGGAAATCTTGGTTGATGAACAGGTTTGAATAATGGTTTTTTTTTTTAAATTTTTAAATCGAAATTTAATTTAGAATAATCACTTTATTAATAATAATTATATTATTATAGTATATAAATCTCTTAAGACAATCTGGATTAAAACCAATTGTACAAGCAATAGAAACAAAGGATGAAAATGTAAGCAATAAAATATTCCCTCGTTTAAAAAAACAAGTGAAAAATGAAACGAAATAAATCTCACAAAAATTTACTTCATCTCAATAAATAGACGCCATTATCACTCGTGCATTATATGGATCCAAAATCATTAACAAATATAATGGCAAGATTAGATTCATTTTTATCATTGACAGATAGTGATACCTTTAAACTCAAAGGTCATCCAAAACCATTAGTTAAAAAAGTTAATCAAAGAGTAAGTAAGATGTTTATTGAAGCTTATAGAAAAGTTAGCGATGCTATTAGAGATCCAAAAAATCGATATGAATTTCCTAATACAATCTTGGTAAGAACGGTTGATGAAGTTGAGGCCATTTTAATGATAGATTAAGATGATATCGATTCATTTTACCCACTCAAAGACATATAATCCATTTAACACTTTCAAAGGATATTTTTTTTATTTATAACTTTTATTTAGAAATTAATATAATACCAAGTTATTCGTAATTAAATTTTTTTACGAGCAAAAAGATTATCAAAGTTTCGCTATTCGGGATTTGATTATTAAAATATATATATATATATATATTTATATTTATTAGAATTAGAAATCGAAATTTGTTGTAATTTTAACCCCCAAAAAAATTTTGAATGTATAATAACTTCGAAATTCGCTTCTGATCATTAATTGATATTCGAATATTCGAACGAACGGATTTGACATTCAATTGCCAAAAAATAAATTTGCGCGATATAAAGAAAAATCTAATGAATTAAAATCGTTTGACAGGACAAACATCGAACGAACGGAAGTTATTTATTAATTTGCTTTATCTTCGTTTGTAACGCAGGCAAATTTGCCTGCATAAAACATAGTAGCGTGTGAAAGTCTTACAGACGAAGGGATAATATATCAGCGGAGTTAGCGCTGTATTCTATTTATATATTAAAGGGTTAATATTAATGGTTAATTAACCAGATCGTAGCTAACCGTTCTCTACCATTACATATGAAAAAAAAAAAAAAAAAAAAAATGAACTCTTAAAAAAATTTTTTTAGAGTCAAATTTTTCAAAGTAAATGTAACTTTTTATGTACAAGCGAGAAAGTGATTTTTCAATTAAATGTTAACGCCCAAATCCATACTTACCCAAGATAAAATAAATTCGCCCTCGTATTTATTATACAATTATTACGTCAGAAACAATTCCAACATAAAAAAAAAAAATTCTCATCTCATCTAAAACATTCGAAAGAAAAATGATGAAAGTTGGAACTTATTTAATTAAAAGATTAAAGGAATTAGGTATCAAACATGTATTTGGAGTACCTGGTGATTTCAATATGGACATTTTGGATTTTGTAGAAGATGAAGAAGGAATTGAATGGATTGGGGGATGTAATGAATTGAATAGTGGTTATGCAGCTGATGGTTATGCAAGGATTAATAAAATCTCCGTAAGTAGTTTTGCCGTTTCTTCAGAAAAAGTTTTCGTGGTTAATATTTCTTTTTATCATATTTTTAGGCCTTGATAACAACTTTTGGGGTAGGTGAACTTTCGGCAATCAATGCCATCGCGGGTTCATTCTCGGAAATAGTTCCAGTTGTACATATAGTAGGGACCCCGTCCACCAAATCTCAATCCGAGGGGGCAATATTGCATCATACCCTTGGCAACGGCGATTTTAAAATTTACAAGAGAATGTACGAAGAAATTACGGTAGCCCAAACTTGTCTCAATCAAAACAATGCAAAATACGAGATTGATCGAGTATTGAGAGAATGTTATATAAAAGCGAGACCAGTTTATATCTCCTTACCGTTTGATGTTTGTCATCAAGAAATTGATGTTGCCACAGATCTCTCGGAGGATCTTTTAAGTTTATCCTTACCCAAAAATCATCATGATGTCGAATATGCTGCTATAAACCAAATAGTTGAAATTATCCGTAAAGCGAATCGTGTAATTGTTCTAGTCGATGCTGGAACTTCCCGTTATAATGCTACTAATGAACTATTGGAATTTGTTGAAAAAACTGGTCTTCCATTTTTTACCTCGCCAATGGGTAAGGGGATTATTTCTGAAGATCATCCGCAATTTGGTGGAATTTATATTGGAAATGTAAGCGAATCTCATATCAGAAGTGAAGTTGAAAATGCTGATTTAATCATTTCTGTCGGTGCGATCAAGTCAGATTACAACACGGGGTAATTAAAGTCCATCATATTAATTAGTTTACTTTTCTTTAATAACTAATTTCTTTATTAATTTGTCTAGAGGATTTTCTTACCATGTAAATCAAGCAAAAACCATAGAATTTGGACACGAAAATGTGAAAGTTTTCTTTGCACGTTACGAAGATCTTTCATTGAAACAAATCTTGCCTAAAATCACGTCATGCTTGGAAGATTTGCATTATAATCCACAAATTCAACCCCCATATCAATATCGATTACTTCCTGAACAAATAGAATCTAAACGGATTGTTCAAAATTGGTTTTGGAGAGAGATTTCTTCAAAATTTTTAAAACCAAATGATATTATTATAGCAGATACTGGTACTTCAATGTTTGGATTAATGGACATTAAGTTTCCTAAAGGTGCAACATTTATTAGTCAAATCTTGTACGGAAGTATCGGATATAGCGTCGGTGCTACTTTGGGCGCTGCTTTAGCTGCGAGAAATAATCAAATGAAAAGACGCGTCATTTTATTCGTTGGAGATGGATCTTTGTAAGTTATACCGTTTGTGTTTCGAAATCAAAATTTAAAGGAGCAGAGCATTTTTTACTTTCACTGCAACGGCATTTTAATATTTCTCTTGTCATCTTTCTAATTATCTAGAATTATATATATAGTTTTATAGATGATTTAATATTTGAAAAAATTTACGTAATTTTATTAATTTTTTTTTTTTCTTTTTTTTTTAAAAAAAAAAAAAAAAAGTCAAGTGACCGTACAAGAAATTTCCACCATGATACGTCAAAATATTCAACCCATTATCTTTATTCTTAACAACGAAGGATATACCATCGAACGAACACTTCATGGACTTAAACGTGAATATAATGATATACAACAATGGGATTTCTGTAAAACTTTGGAATATTTTGGTGGGGCAGGAAAAGGTAACAACTTACTCACAACTTAATACTTTTGCGCAATAAAATATGATAATGTTAATTTTTTGATTCCTTCCTTTAAGGAAATTCCGTTAGGATCTCAACCAAAGATGAAGTAGGATCCTTTATTCATCAATTTTCTCCGGATAAAATTCAAATTGTTGAAGTTATTATGGATAAATTTGACGTTCCCAGGGCTTTATTAGAAACTGTTAAAATTACTTACACACAACATGTTTATGAAGAAGTTATTCCTTTTCTAAAGCAAACGAAAGAAAAAAGGATGCAAGAAGAGAAGTTGGATGAGAAGATGAAAGGTGAATTTAATGGAGTCAAGGAATTCTAAGTAAGATTATTTAAACTTAAAAATCTGTAATGAAAAAGACATTCAACAAAGTAAGCATAATTATATATATTATGATTACGAATAGTAAAGAATTCAAACAACAAAATAAATGATTTCGAGTAATTTTATCAACGAAAGTTTTATTCATTAGTATTTAACACATAATTGTTTATTACATAATATTATATGATTGTACATATTACAAAAAAAAATAAAGCAAAAAATAAAATTTTCTTTTTCCAACTATAAAATGCTTGCACTTGGCCAGATATGAGTCATCTCATAACTGTTTCTCCCAAACACCGCGTAGAGGTGGCAAGGTTCGTTTAGGATAGAGAATAGATTATCAGAACATTGTCATCATTTAATCTAAATATGGTATTTTTGATGAATCCAAAGCCAAGACACCTCTTTATTATCATAACCAATTCAACAATTCAATAGTTTCATTATCGGAATCCCTGCCTGACGGGAAAGATATGATATAAGAACGACCAAACTTTTTTTCCAAGACAAAAAAAAAAACCAAATTAATTTTATACATTATTTAAACCTCGCGTAACACGAAGCATTTTCTTAATACCAAAAGAAAAGCAATAAATAATGGGAAATGATTTTTGATATGGAATCATTATCTTAAACCAATTCATTCACTTTATCAATACTTCCTTCTAAAGAAAGGGAACCGAATAAAAATTCGAAAGGAAAACTTCAAGAAGGAACGTACTGCGAAATACATTTCTCCCTTCACAGCAGGGGAGCAATACACACGAATGTGTAAAGGTATAAACGCCCAGTAAAGCAAAGCAACTAGACAGCGAATATACGGTCAAGAATTTTGCAGGGATAGTAAAATCGAGGCATCGCTTTAAGTTTACGCTCTAGTAAGCTTAGATTAGCAAAGAAGAAAAGAAAAGAAAAAAAAAAAAAAAAAAAAAAAAAAAAAAAAAAACAAAACCATGAATAAATAGCGAGGAAATTTCGCGAAATAAATGACGCAACATGTTTTAATCGATCGTACACGTGATCCAAATTTATACTCGAAGGTATTATGCTCAGCCATGTAGGTGAACGACCACATTCTCCCATCTTCACAACAGAAAGTAAACAGAAGAAGTGGGATAAGAAGAATGATTTGGGGCAAAGGCAGACTTTTTAGATGAAATATTTTTTATAGCTTAAAGGTTTATCGTTATCGTTTTAATCATCTGCTACACAGATTCTGATTGGACAATTATCAAAACCTTCATCTTTAATTTCTTTTAATTGCACAATAAGAATTTAACATTAATCTCAATCAAAAATAAAATAGAATTCTTTTAGAAAATAATATATTTTTTCTTTTTTTTATAGTAAACATTTAATTTTCTGCTTTCATATAAATTTATATGTTAAGATGTAGCGATGAAATTGAATCTGATCCTATTCCGACGCGTAAAATATGTAAAATATTTCAAGGTCGTCCAACAAATGACACAAGAAACAAAATTAAATCGAGCTAATTACTGTATAAAATCAAATGTCTTTATTGTTGAATAATTCAATAATAAACAAATATGGCGAATTGCTGCGGTTAGGTACTTAATTTTCTTCACAGAAAAAAAAATTAATCGAGACTAAATAAATATAATAATAATAATAATAATAATAAAAAGCCTAGAAGCCCTCGTAAAATTTCGGCAATTACGTCTTTATTTGCTTTATTTTAATTATTATTACTGCAAATCTGCAAGTTATCTAACGTGAAATGTGATTGATTGTGTGATTACCGTTTCAGCCTTACCATGTTACTTAGCCATATTTTCCTGATACTTTACCCGCTTTTAAATTAAAAATTTTTTTTTTCGCCACATTTGGAAAGATGTGTAGAATAAAAATTTTCTATTATTTAATGAATTTGTTTTCTCGTACAATGATTTAATTTCTTTTCGTTCTCTTGTATTATAGATTTTCATAAATGACAATAATTTTATAATTTATTAATAATAATGGAAGAAATTCAAGAAAAGAAAAACACTTCAACATCTACACCTGGTAGTAGTAAAGATGTTTTTGATGAAAAGGTGGTAGATACAAAGATCGAAATACCGCAAATTTCATCATTGCCATTTAAACAAGTAATAGATGCAGCTACATTTTCCTCAAATGGAAAGTTTTTAGCAACGTATGCTTCAAAGGAAGGGAAATTAGTAATATGGCATGTACCAGATATAAGATTTGATGAAACGTTTGTAACTAGTCGTAGGCTCGAACCAATTTGGCATTCAAATCCAATGACATCAGATTTAAAGCCTCGTGACTATATGGAGCAAAGAGAAAGTTTCGCATCATCATTTACTCAAAAGATATCAATGACAAATATAGACTTTGCATTATCAAACGATGGAAAATACGTTGCTTTAAGTTTGGTAAAATTACCACAAGATAGGAATCAATTAGCATTTGAACTGGTTCATCCTCCCCCAGATAAATGCACCAAATTTTATACTTACATAGTTAGAACAGCGCGCGATAGACCAGTATTTCGTAAATATTTAATGAAATTAACTGGAACGATCAAATTTACTGAAGATAAAGAATCATTTATTATTTGTAATATTGAACATAATAATTTTGATCCGCAAAATGAGGAAAATAATTGTATTTATGTTATTTCCACTAATCATTGGAAGATTCGGCACAAACTTATAATCGATAATTTTTCTGATACTCTGCAAGTTATCCCTCATCCTTGGTCTCAAATGAAAATTGTTAAAAATTCACTTTTACCAGGACATTTTATTTTCGTCGAACAGGTATGATTCAAAAAGTGCGTGATTAGAAACAAAAGTTGTAGTAATTTTTAATTAATTTTTTTTATTTTAAAAAAATAAAGTGGGATACAGCCTTGTTGTGGTCGTTATCAACTGGACAATTAGTTTCGCGTTTCAAATGTTTATCAAAGGATTCATTTCTTGACGCCGATTCTTCACCAACATTATTCGCGTTATCTCATGATCAACAAATGTTGGCAACATGGACGTCAAAAGGTGTCTTAACAATATTTTTATGCGAAGGAGGTCTTACATTTGCATCATCATTACATAACGATGACAAAAAAGAAAAATCATTAGATGTTGATAGTGATGTAAGTAGAAAAGAAATTTTTTGGTTAGAAGGTGATGAGCATATAATAACAATTAATTCAACTGGAAAAAATTCCACAGATAATTGTGTGCAAATATGGGATATTTATACTTGTGCACCTGTTAGTAGATTTGATAATATAGATCCTACTTGCTTATTTGAACCAAACGGAAAAGATATTTATGTCACTTTTAAAAATGATTTACCAAAGTTAAATGGAATCAAAACTCCAAAATCTTTTCATGTTCAAAATGATTTTTCAAAGCAACAAATGATTGGTAGACATCATTTTTTAGCATTAGGTTTTAATAAAATTTATCAATACGACAATAGTAAAGTATTGTTGTTTGAATATCTTCCCGGTCGTCAAAGCGAATCAATTTTAAGCGATGATCATCCGATTGTGAAATTACGTATCGAACCTTGGCTAATTTACTCACCTATTAAATCTGGATTTTGTTTGGATCCTGATATGAAAAGAGTTTTGTTTATTGGTCATTATACTGTACAAATTTGGATCTTTAAAGACGATGAAACCCCACGTTTACAATACATTTGGTGTCGTCCCATGAGAGTATGTATATGTCAAAATCACATTTGAGATTTTTAAAATTTTTTGTATATTATATTTTCTTTTTAATCAAATTTAATTGATTATTAGGATAAATGGAGACAAACTCCATTGACGACATATGCCACCATTGAAAATGCTACTCTTCGAAAATGTCAAGATGGTCGATATACGTTGGAACTTCGATGTCAAGTAAATGACCAAGATCAAATTGGATTTTCAAAGTAATCCGATTTTTTAATGATTTCTATTTTTTTTTTTTTTAAAAAAAAAAAAAGCTATTTCCTTTTAATCACTTTCTTTTTTTTTTCTTTCTTTTTTCTCAACAATAGAGTAAATAATCATCCTCCAGATAATACGATTGGTAATGTACCTCCTGGAGCAATGACGATCACCAAATTAGAATCTAAAAATCAATTCAAATTTGATCTATTTCTACCAAATGAAAATGAATTTGGCACGTATGGTATTGTATCAAATGCCGCAAAATCTTTAGGGTTTTTAGCTTATGCTGAAAGATTAAATTGGATTCAAATTAGTTCTGGAAATGTATATCCTTATTTTAGAACATTACTCACACAGTGTCAAGCAATAATTTCCAATGCCATACACAAAAATCCGCATATATTCAACCAAATAGTCGAAGGTCAATCACCATTGGAGATCTTAATTAAAGCAGATTGTTCATATGCCGATAAATTAATCAAGGAACATTTAAAAACGGACAAACATATACCAAGGTTTCATGATGATGATAGAACAAAATCTGCATTGGCAAGGGCAATCAGTCTTGGTAAAACCGAAGTTGTACATTCTTTATTAAAATATTATTGTAGAAGATGCGAAGAAAATCCAGTATCGTGGACGATAACAGTTGTACCGGCCTTTGCTTCTTTAAGGACGGTTTATCCGGATTTTGCATTAGAATTTTTGAGAAGAATTAGTTATTTACCCGTTAGAGATGATATTATTAGAACGGATCATGAAGAAATTTATGCATATGCAAAGATTGAAGAATTAGAATATGAATCTAAAGAGAATATGTGGCAAAGATTAATGACATTGTGGTCAAAAAGTGAAAGAGAATTTGATAGGCAAGTGGAAAGTGCGACCGAATTCGTTAGGATACCACATAAAACGCATGCAGCTAGAGAATGCGTTGTACCATTACCAGACTTCACTGTATATAAACCTACACCAAAAAGTATACAAAAACCTGTGGAGTCAAGTAGAGTACCAATGTTACGTTATATTATAAATTATTTAATGTATCGTAAAAACCGTTCACCTTTTATTAAAGAAGTGTTGTCAGGTAGATATGAAATGTTTGGTGAACCTGCCATGGAAGCCGTAATTAATTTTAAATGGAGAAAATTTGCTCAATGGAGGGCATTTTTGATGTTAGCAATTTATGCGTTTTATGCATGCGCATTTTTGATTGGGGTGTCGATGAAAGAAGGTGCTTATCCATTGATACAAACAATCACCATGTTGATTGTATTAGCTGTTGGCTCTGGCTATTTCGGATTAGAATTAATGCAGATGATGGGACAATTAGAAAGTTATTGGTTTAGTCCTTATAATTGGTTGGATTTGGCTCGTAGCGTATTTCCTATGGTTGTTGCGGAACAATATTTGAGAAATGTGGAGCCTTCTCCTGGATTACGCGGTACCGCGATGATGTTCGTTTATGTAAACCTGGTAAGTTCATTTCATGCATTTTGTCTAAATGCTTTTGACAATGATTAACATTTATAAACGTGTATATTGTTTTTAGATATTGCATTTTAGAGTGTTCAGAGCTATTGGAATACCAATCTTTATTATATTTCAAATATTTAAAAAGGTTTGGTGGACACTTGTGATAATAGGTATTATGGTATTTTCTTTTGCGCATATATTACATATCTTATTGAGAACAAATTCGGATGGTGCGTTTGGTAACTATTTTACATCCCTGATATCCGTTTATTTCTTTTTGGTAAGCGATAATTATAATTAATTTTTTCGTCATCTCGCGTTTTAGTTTATTTTTATTTTATTTTTTTTACGAGTTTTATTAATCCTCCTTTTTTTCACTTGAAAGGTTGGAGAATATTCATCAATTGATAATATAAAAGGAAGAGACATGGTTATAATGGTAGTAGTATTCTCTTTTTTTACCACAATAATATTATTAAACATATTGATCGCTCTTATGTCTGATGTGGTAAATGAAACAAAACTCAGTGGTAAACAAGTTTGGCTTAAACAAAAAGCCGAGGTAATATTATCCCTTCCCCCTTTTTTTTAATCGATTCAATTCAAAGATGACGACTTTCTAACTCATAATATATATATATATATATATATATTTGTATTAAATGAACAATAGGTCATTGCGGAAATTGAAATGTATATATTCACACCAGGGCAGAGGAAAAGAAAGGATTACTTTCCTTCGTTAATTTATTATATCGCAACTCCTGATGGTATCAAATCATATAAGAAAAAGGGTAAAGATGATGACACTTGGGAAAGCGATGATGATGGTGGTGATGGTGACAAAGATGAATTACACGAGGTACAGTTACTTAACAGATTTTTTTTGGAAGAATTTATGTAATTTACTAATGCGAAATTTTTAATGTTTTTAATAGCGAGTTCATCCATTGCAAAAACCTGAAGGGTATGATGTAAAAAGATCATCAACTGTAAAACTTAAGAGAGGCCCTACACTTAAATTATTTAATGAAAAAGCTCATCCTCATACATTTGAACCCGCCGAATAATTATTTAATTCATTAAAGATTTACGAGTATTTTTTTTTTATTATTAAATCTTTTTGCGGCTAATACATTAGATGAATTCGATATATTAATCATACATTACTTTAATCTAATTTATTATACTTATCATAAATATACTTATTTTTATTAATTTATTTCTGTAAAGATGAAGTTGCAATGTCTTTTTTAATAGAAAGAAAAAAAAAAATGAAACTTTTGTACAAATTCTTAAAAGTTTAAATATAAATACAATTGGAAGAAAAAAATTGCTGATACAATTGAATATCTTGATTTTGGATTTTCTTTTTTTTTTTTAAAAAAAAAAAAAAAAATATGCACCCACCCACATAATCCTATACCTTTATTTAAACAATAAAGTCGGAAAATGTTAAAATTAAATGAAAATGTCCATTTCTTTCGTGAATTTTATTTATTAATAAATGAATTGTTTTTTTTTAGAAAAAAAATCTTTTGTTATTGTTTATTCATTCTCATTGTCCGTATAAACATCTTCCACATCATAGAAAACTAAAAAATGAATGAATGAATAAATATTAAATAAAAAAAAAAAAGTTCGTTTAATAATATTACGATGAATCGAAAAAAACGATTTACCTTCATTTGTATGTTGTTGCTGTTTTTGTTGCTGTTTTTGTTGAATATTTGTCAATTTTTGTGACAAGGCTCTCGCGGCATGAAGATCCAGTAAAGATTTTCGTATATTCACCCAGTCATGAGTCACACCTATAAAAACTAAGAATGAGAGAAAGGAAAATAGCAAAAGTCTTTTCAAGAAGACAATCTACGTTGAAAATAAAAAAAAATTAGTGATAATTGATAGGAATTTATTATTATTATTATTATTTTTAATAAAAAATAAAAGAGGATTTAAAAAATAAGTTACCTCTGCAACTAATAAGTGAACATTTGAAGTAAGGACCTTTAATTCCCCCTCGATTCTACTTTGATTAGTATGAAATTCGGAGAAGGTTATTTGAAGCAATTGTTCATATTGATTTTTCTAAGGAAAATAAGTATATAAGTATCATTGCGTTTAAAAAGTAAATGTTTTCATTGAGAGTTACTTAAATCATACACACCAAAGTCTCCACTGTACCAGTGAAATGATTCATAATTGAACCAATTTTTTCCGAGTGAGAGCTAACCTTACCATAAACTTCTCTCAACAATTTACTTTGTTCTTCAATATGTCGCTTGTTAACAGTTGCGTCAGATTCAAGGGTTAAAATACGTTTAAACAAAAACATATATGAACTTTGATTTGGCACGCCGGTTGGTAAATTATTTTTATTATTGAAATCGGGTTTAACTTGCTTTGGTTGAAGTGGTAAAGGTTTTTTTATCGCATTGCCACTTTTGATAGATCTGTTATTTGGAACAATGATATCAATATAATTGTCAGAAAAGAGATCATATTCTGTTACAAAAATGGGACATTGATCAATATGACAAATTCCAGGATGTATTATAAGTGAATTATCCTGAAAGATCTTAATCGGAAATGAATATCGCCGATTTAAAGGATCAACCCTGGAACAAAATCCATGCTCTAAAACGTTCTTATTCTTGACTGGTGATTTTAGAACTTCCACGTCTTGGTTATGTGACTTTGTGATTTTATTATTATTCGCCGCATGGGATTGTTCCCGTTGCAATGTATCATTTTCAACTTTAAAATTTTCTGAATCCGTTCGAGTATCTTCTGATAATTTGTCTAGATCGTCTGATTCAATAGAAGGTTCTAATATACCTATGGGCTCGACATTCAGTAGAACATCTTCTTGTGATGTTGATTGTGCAATTCCATCTTGCTCTTGCTCTTTATTCCACATATCCGTTTCACTATTTCCATGTACACGAAGTAAGCTAACTGGACAATAATGATTATGTCCATAGTGCGTCTGAAATTCAATACGAAGATACTTTACGAACATTATAGGATCTTTGACACTGAAAATCTATTTAAAATAAAAAAAAAGAAAGGGTTCGTTAATAAACCAATATACGAATGAACGTTGAATCATGAAGATTGACCAACCTGCAACTCCCTAGAATTCTTTGCACGATATTCACCAATGACTTTCCAGTCTTCCTTTGGTGGATACCATTTACTTATAGACACTCGAAAGTTTTTAAAAGTAGAAGAAAAAAATTCGAAATTTGCTAACACTATAGTATCCACAAGAATTGGATAGCATAATTCCACAATAAAATATTTTTCTGCCGAACACTTGTTAAGCACATAAGAGTCTTTACTTTCAGTTAAGATCGCCGAGGTACCTTTGGCTTCTTTATTCGCCTTTAACACATTAGCCCCACAATCAATCGAAGCATAATTAAAACGTTCTTTCAATTTTGATAAATCCGAAGTATCATATTCCGAAATCAACCCACGAGGAGAATCAATATTTTCAAATACGGCACCAATATCACCCTCCTCATCTATGGACTCCATGGTTTGCGAATCCTTTGATTCATTGTTTTGGATTCGTTTCTTTTTTCTTTTTTGATCCGAAGATTCACGATTCTTTTTATTGTTCTTGTTATTGTTCTTGTTAAACTTTTTACCGATAGACAGTATATCGGTGGACTTTGAAGCCAAATTGTTCGTTGTATGTGAAGGTTGATTTGTATTCTCCGTTCGATGCTTTTTTCTATTTAAGTTTTGTTGCTTCCTGCTGTGATTAAGGATTTTTTGATCGTTCGTGGCGGTATTAACGACCGAAGGTATCGTTGGCTCATTAAAATTTTTCATTTCACCAACCAGAAAATTCTGACAATGTGAGCTTGTCCAGATTAAATTATTTAAGGAAGGTACGGCCGGTGATTCGCCGACATTATTTATCACCGAAGCAGGTTCCATTGTACGAGTGGGAGCAAAGAATGGACCGAAAGACATAATTATAAAATTTATAGTAGATAAGAATCCATTCCAATACATTATTATTATTATTATTATTATTATTTTAAAAGAAATAAAATCGTGAATTTTCCCTAAAGATAAAGCGATGACTTTTTTTTTTTTTAAAAAAAAAAAAATAATAATGATTTAGATGATTTTTTTTTTTGTTTGGAAAGGTACATAAATGGCGAAGGTTAAAAAAAAAATAACGCCACAGATGATTAATTATGTCACAATGAGTGAAACTTTCCCACACTTCTGCAAATGGATAAAGAGATAACCTAAGATAATAAGATAAGGGAAAGGAAGGAGGGAAGGATGAATAAATCTGTAGAGAAAGAAGAAATCCAGGTCGTATTTATATAATAAATTTATGAAAAAATAATTATACATGTATTAGACATATTAGACATCCTTATCGGCATGTGGAATTACTATAGACGTAATACCCCATGTAATCGGCATAATATAATAACTTGGTGATCCAATTGGTGTGCCGCTGTTCATTTTTTGAGACGCTAGATTTTTTATTTTGCCAATCACAGTTTAATTCTTCGGACGAATCTGGTAACAATCGAAGGCTATCAAGAAATTTGATTATTTATTGGGCAAAAAATGAACTGCGACCGATAGAAAAATTTCGAATTTTCCCAAGTTTCTACCTCGTAATGCAAGCGTGAATTACACATGGCAAATCGACCCGGACATTTTGTGTGTTTGGAAAATCTTTCACACAAATATTTGTTGTCAATACCCAAAAGCGAAAGGCAAAAAAAAAAACCCCATATCCTCCGATTCATTATCCTCCAAAGGATCTATTTAAGATCGAATTAATAAAAGATCGATGATGAATTAAACCATATATATTTTAGATCGATGATTACCCTAATTTGGCTACATCGGAATAGGATTTGTTATAAATGATCAAAAAAAAAATTTTTTTTCTGAAATTTTTTTTTCCAAAAATAATGGTGACAATTAACAATAATACTAGATATGCTGTATTTCGTGCTTATAAACAACTTTTGAAAGTCCAAAGAGAAACATTTAAGGGTATGATAGAGTTAAATGAGACATTATTTTTGTATGAATTTTTATTAATTAAAATTTATTTAAAAAGAGGATACTTTTACTATAAAAGGTATTTGATTTTCTTTGGATTCTTTTTGGATTAAAGTTAAAAAAGAAAGATAGGGTTTTTTATTGGCCCTCTATATGGATAATATGTTGCTTAGAGGCAAAACGTAAGACACGTGAAGAATTTTTTAAAAACAGAGATGAAATCGACACAAATAAAATACAAGAGGTTAGACGCAAACTAAATTTTTTAATTTAAAAAAATTAATTTTCATCTTTCAAAATAAAATTAAAATCAATGTAATCGATCAGTGTATAAATCAAGCTAATGATGTGGCATCATTATTGCAAAAGAATGTCGCTCAGGCTGAGATTGAAAATCCCTCCGAACATATATTTAGTAAGTTCTTGTCTTTTTTAAAAGTAATTATTAATCGTTATATTTATTTGCCTAATTTCATATTTAGAAATAAAATTACACGAGAGACATGAATTGGGAGATAATGATTCAATAAAAAATCCTCCATCAATTAAAACCTTGAAAAGGCAATCGGTGGGAAAATGTGGTTAATTTTTTAATTATTCGTATACTGTAAAAGTAAATAAAAAAAAAATATTTAAAAATGGATGCGCCGCAGTAACCTGCGATAAACTAGTGTAAATATTCTAATCATATGATTATCGCGTGATTAGCCCAGCGTAGATCCATGCATTTTTTCGACCATATTTCATCACTTCAGTTTAGTTTCAGTTTTTGAATGAAAATGACTCAAAATTTACTGAGAACTCTTTCACATGATCTGATTAACATCTCAAAGACTGGAGAATTCGCCGACGTCCTTATAAGGGTTGGTGAGGATTATGGTGAAGATACCAGAAATTTTCAGGTTCATTCGATAGTATTAAGTGCGCGATCAAAATGGTTTCGCGCTGCCTTATCTGAAGCTTGGCATCAAACAAGAAAAGATAACATGATCTTGTTATCCAAACCAAATATTCAGCCACCTGTATTTGAAGCCATCCTCGAGTACATTTATGGTGGAGAATTTGATCCAAAGAATTTTCAAGTTGTAGAATTGATTGAAATTCTTAGAGCGGCCGATGAACTTGGCTTGGTGGAACTGATAAAGTACATAGAACTTTACCTCAAAGATAATCCAGAAATTATTTGTTCCAACATCGTTTCTTTATATGAGTTTTCCGTCCGAAATGATAATTTTCGCACGTTACATTTCTATTGTAGTTATATAATGGAACAAAACCCTTCCTTGTTTTTTCTAGACGAAAATTTTGCTCTTCATATGAGCAAAGAAACAATGATAACCTTACTAAGAATGTCAAACTTGATGATGAATGAGCTTAATGTCTGGAATAATCTTGTACGATGGGGAATTGAACAAGTCATAATAGAGAATTCTCAACAAAATCAATATGATACTTTAGAAGAATACAATGATATAATTAAATCTTTTACCCATGAGGATTTCATTAAATTTGCGGAACTTCTTCAACCTTGCATTATGCTCATCAACTTTATAGATTTCACTTCCTTGGATTATGAACAACTTGTTGAGCCTTTTATCAATGCTATCGGTAGAAATGATTTGAATCGGATCAAGAGATTAATTTCCATGAATGATGATGAAATCTCGGTTAAATATTCAGAATTGCTTAACCCTGAACGAGCTGCTGAACTTTCAATTATTATATCCAACATGTATAACGATATAGAATCTATTGGATTATGTGATTTCAAACTGTTATTAAGAGGGAGTCGAGACGGTATGACAGTGAATGCTTTCACATCGAGGTGTTGTGGTAAAGGTCCAACTGTTATTTTAGCAAGGGACAAATTTAATAAGCATCTTTATGGGGCTTACTATGCGAATAGATGGGATCATCCTAATTATCATGATAAAGTAGATGTAATTTGGACGAGAAAATTAAATGAAAAAAGTTTCATCTTTCAATATCATGATTTTGAATTCAAAAAATCACTTTCAATCGTGTTGCCCTTATGGACTAAAGATTATAATATACTGAAGATTAATTTTGGGATAGGTTTTAATTTGCATTGTTATAAAAATTGTTGGAAAATGAACAATCATTACGAAATAGATGAAATCGAAATTTTTCAACTTATTAGAAGAAGGAACTTTTGAGAACATTTTAACCACAACTCTTTTACACGACATTTATTCATAAAAATAAAAACTTGTCTTTGTATTCTTTGTATCTTTTAAGAAGATTTTAAAAGTAAATAGTTTATGTGTGTTTCTTAACGAATACGTATAACGGTCTATTTTTCTAAATATCAAATCATCCACGCGTTTTTTACGCGTCTAACTATAATTAAAAGTTTTTATTGGTCGATAAAAAAATATATTGTCTGGCTTTCATATTTTTTGTTATTTAATTAAAACTAACATATTCAACATATTGCAACATATTATAATTAATTAAGATACTTATCTTTAATCTTTATTTTTAATTTTAATTTTTTAATTCTAATTAAAAAATCAAAATTATTAATTAAAAAAAATAACTAATCAGTTTAGAAATTAAATATTTATTATAAGATTTTTTTTTTATTTAAATAAATTAATTTCTATATATTTTCTCTTTAAATTAAAATTCTTATTAATAATATAAGATCTTTGCAATAGAAAAGGAAGAAATGGCTAAAAAAATAAAAATTAAGTTAATACTAAATCTGAACATATTTTAACCTAAAAATTATATTTGGCATACAAAAGTAAATTTGAAATTTTCCAGCTATTTTCCTAAAGATTTCATATTAATAATAATAAAGTAATTCTTTAGCTCTTATTTTATTATTATATTGAATTTTTAATTTCTTTTTAATAAAAAATATAGTATAATTTATTTAGATTTATTGTTTAAATTGTATTTTAATAAATTGCATAATAACAATTTAATCAGATTTATAAATTTTAATATAATATATATTATACTTTGATATTATTTAATTTTGATAATATTAAATTAATTATGTTAATTCAATTTATTATAAATTATTAATAAAACTAGAAAATATAAACTTTTAGAATATCTAAAATGTTAATTGTAATGTAAATATAACACATATCAAAATGTATTCATAAAAATAATAAGTAATATAAAATTTAAAAGTAATTAAATAACCAATAGCAATAAATAATCTAATTTTTTATTTTTACAATTACAAAATGATTTCAAAAGCAAATTTTAAATAAAAAAAAGTAACTTGTTACAATTAAAATAGTATATTTTATTATTTTAATACATTATAATAAAATAAAGTTTAGTATAATAAAAGAAATCAAACTTTAAAATACAATAACATATATATAGCATAGACAAAAGAAAATAAACAAAAATTAATCAGTTAATGTAAATGTAAAGTGTAACATAAAAAATAAAAATAATTATGTGATATAACTAGAGTTTAGAACCGATATTCAGCATTCGAATATAAATCCGGTTTCTTCCAATTCGAATTTACATTTTATCCAGATATAATAGATCCGGTTCCTTCGTTTCATCCGGATATAATAAATCCAGTTCCTTCATTTTATCCGGATATAATAAATCCGGTTCCTTCATTTCATTTGTATATAATAAATCCAGTTCCTTTGTTTCGTTTGAATATAAATTTAATTTATTTATTTATTATAATTAACTGACAATATTTTTTAATGTACTGCATTATATTTATACGTT